CATTAAATGCCAAACTCTGTAGCTGTCAAACGGAACCATCTCAGGTGTTGAATGTTCATTAAAATTAGGACTGGTTGATTAATCATAGCATGTACAGGAAATGATCTATTCTGAGAAGTAGAATACTTGTTTATAGCCCACAATTTGCTCACATTTTTTTCATGAGTGAAAAGTTTACTGATATTAAGACAGGAAATAATTAGTACAGAAAAAGTAATACACTTTTAAGAACATTTTGCTCAGCTGACTGTTTTATTTTCAAGCGTCAAAAGTTCATTAAAGATAGGACTGGTTGATTAATCACAGCGTTTACAGTAAATAATCTAGTAGAAACAGTAATATACACGTTTATGTACATTTTGCTCGGTGTATTTTTTATGTGTCAAACGTTTATTGAAAGGAATGATTGAATTATCAGTGGTTACAAGAAACAATGTGTTCAGAAAAGTAATACAAGCTGTTAAGCACATTATGCTCTGTTTGGTTTTGTTAATGACTTTCTTCTGTACTGGAGCCTACTATTACTGCTATCTATTGAATCAAAGCATATTAAAATGTGTTTGGAAAGAAGGAAAGGAGAAAGAGGACAGACAGAAGAGAGGGCGTCAGTATGTCACAAAGTTTTTCTCAAAGAAAGGTTGGTTTAGTTAGTGAGTGGTTAAATTCAACCTGTTTGCTAGCTTTGATATCCACAGTGAGAGGAACTATGTTTCATCTAATTATGGTAAATGGGTTGTTGTCCTTGTCCCTACCAGAATCAGCAGCTGATGATATGTCAGCAGGTGTCCCCTCACAACCCAATGAACCTCAAGAAGGTGAGCAATGTAGCATGTTAGCTAGCAGCCTCATTTAAGGGGGTCTGTGGGAATCACTTAAGGCTCTCTTCTCTATCAGTACTATTACAAAGGAATATAAAAAGGCTATTTTTGGTGATAAACACATTGTTTTTCCACATAATGATAATTATAAATATCAATCAGTAAAAATGTAAGATTGTTTTTGATGCTGGGCAGGTTGAAGCATTGCTATTTAGTCTGCTAATGTAACATAAATTACTGTGAGATTATTACTGTGAAGCACCTTTTTGAAGGTGCACCATACAAGAAAAAAAAACCTCTTCATCTACTAAATACCTTGAAATGAAATGTTTTGAATCTGACTGAATTATGGGAGGTTTTACAAGATGTAATTTGTTGATGTAGCTTTTGGAACACAAACCAAAAATCAATAATTTCCAAATAATTAATCAGAGAGCAAAAATGAAACAAATGCTATTAATAATTGTAATAAATAAACTTCATATAACATTGAACTTCATATAACATTGAACACAATAAAATATGAAATCTAGTATTGATCGTTATCGAGCATTATTAATTATATCACTGTAAATAATAAATCTTGCTGTGTACAATCAAGGCTGAATATATTTTTAGCTGTTTTTTATTGTTGTTGAGAAAAATGGGTTTCTAGAGACTTATACACGTATTCATTCAAAATTGTCCAACTTTAAAATGTTATGTAACCCTAACTGACTCCGGTTTGAACTGTGTGCTTATTCATTTTGTGTCTGTGATGAAGCCATGGAGACTTAATAAATATGTCACCTTGTGAGCAGTGAATCCTTAATTTTTTTCAGTCATACAGAAATACTTGATTTCAAGAGGAAAGACAGCTGAAAATGTAGTTATGTAAAGCTTTGACACAACATGGAAATTTAATTAGATATCCAAATTTGAATTTTATCATCAAATAAAATTTTAGAATAAATACACACATTTCAAGGGAGTAATGGGGAAAAGGAGATTAACACCTTTCAGCATGTGCATTTCCTGCTTTTTCCAGCAGTGATATTGCTAATTCTGTTGAATGAAAATCACTGTTTAATGAGACAGCTGGTGAAAATGATATGTAAATAAGTAAGAATGCATGTAGACCTACATAATTAAGCAAAACTGAAACACTAATATAAAGTATATATATTATAATTTTTTCTCCCTTCGAATCTAGGAGGGTGGAACCCCAGCTCCAGCTATGGACAAGCCCCCAGGGGGCCCAACTTGATATTTTTTCATGGGGCCCAAAATCTCTGGCAGCCCCCCTGGCCAGACGTCAACATTCTTCACTCTGAATAAGTGAAGATTCCATGATTTTATAGTTATACACTTACAATAATTATATGTGATTAATGAACAAGATGTTTAAATGAAATGCTTGAATAATCTGTGCTTAAGTCAATGAATTTAAAATGAATATTGTTCTTACAATGATCCATTTATATCATAAATCACTATGTGTTTGATTTAACAAGTTAATCATTGTTTACACTCATAAACATTACTTTATTACATATTACATATCACATATTAAGGTTAAAAACATCTTTGTATTTGCAAGAAGGCGTGGCTTTCTGAGGGATGTTGGTAAATACTCAGAAACGTGTCAAATTTGTCATGACTCCCATCCTTCACCCTCCTCTGCCTCCTCATTCAACCTTATTCAGCTCACCTGGTCCCCTCATCAAGCTACAGCCAAGCCCTGTTTTCCCTAGCAACCTCAGTCAGCACCACAATCAACTCCATTCATCTGACCTGTTTCTGTAATCAGCTTCATCCACTTCACCTGCTCCTGACTCCTCAGCTCATCACTTACACCTGCTTCTCCTGCTATAAAAGATCCATTCAGCTACCCAGTCATGGCCAGATTATTGAAAGCATTTGCCAGTAGATCTTCCAGCTATCCACCCTGCCTGATTTCAGCCTCCGGACCTCGTTTTTGCTCCTGACCCCTGCCTTGTACTCGGCCTGACTCCACGACCTTCGCCTGTCCTCCACCACGTCTCCAGCCTGTTCCCTGTTCTGCATGTCCGATCTGGTTTTGACCCTCGCCTCCTCTCCGACTCTGTCTCCAGCCTCGCCCAACTCTGGTAACTCTGCTTCAAATAAAGACTTTTTTATATATTTTTACTGTGTTTGGCGTCTTCACAGGTCTTCTGAGTTCTGCTCGTGACAAAATTCTGATTGGCCAAACTTGGCCAGAAATCATAACAAAGTAGTTTAATAAAACAAGAATTGCTTCCCGATTAATTCGGTTCCCAGCTGAGCCCCGATTTGGCTGAATCGGGAAAGAAGCCTCTTTTGACACAACCTCCTTTGACCTTAAGTCAAAACCTTTCTGCGACGCTGCAAGTGATTACAGACACAACAGCTCTTTTCAGAGCGACTTCACGCCTAATCTGCAGACCCCTGTCATGTTCTGTGTCCTTGTAGTGCCCATCCCCCTCCAGGTTTCCCCCCAGGTGTCTCCAGTTTCAGGTGTATTAGTTTGCTTATCTTTAGTTTTCTGTACATTTATGTTATTTAGTCTATCTTTCTTTTGTACGTGTTTCTCTCCCACTTAATTAGTTTCTCCTGGTCACTTTGGTTCACACTCCCCTCCTTTGCTTGGTTTTCCCTTCCCATTTAGTTCACTGATCTCACCGTTCTCTCCTCATTTCTCTCTCCCACACACCTGCTCCTCATCTCCTAATCACCCAGCCCTGTGTATATAACCCTGTCTGCGTCTCAATGTTTTGTCGGTCCATTGTTGTATGTGTCAGCGTTGTTCTGGCCCTCTCTAGTTTCCCCAGGTTCGTGCTCATGTGTGAGCTTTTTTGTTTATTTTGTCAGTGTTGTTTGAGATTAGACTGGTTTTGCACTCTTGGCTTTTTACCCATCCTCTTAAATGAATTTTCTCAAATCACTCCTGCCTCGAGTCATTTTGGGTATTCTGCATCTTGGGTCCAACCCTCCTGCGTGACAACCCCGGGTTGCATCTCATGTCCGGGGAAGCTAAACTCAGAGGAAACTACTAATCTCTGAGAATCGTGGTTTCGACATCCGGTGACCTCACCACTCTGACCGCAAACCTCCGGACCGCCGGGAGCAACTTATACATAGGGTTGGGCATCGAGCATCAATTGAAACCGGTTTCAACTGTTAGTTTTCCCGGAATCGTTCAAAGTATTTTTTTTTTTCGATTCCTAGTTTTGATTTCTAGAATGCCGACAGAAGATGAATCCACGGCCGATCTCCGTGGAAAAATGTGTCAGTTTTAAATCAAATATTTATCTAAATACCCAGAAATTCAAACTGCTGAGAAATGGGGGGTGTCTAACAAGATAAAAGCAGATCTATGTTCTAAACATTTACTTCAGATTATTTGAGGCCAACTGCCCATGAATAATTTATTTATTAGTGTATCTGTCTGTGCAAGTCTGTGAATGAACTCAATCTACCACCAAGAGAACTCAGACCCTTACACAGGGAATTTTTCAACCAAATTTTATTTTGATATCTGTTTAAGCATTCTGATTTTGCCTATTAGTTTAACATTTAATGTCAAACTTCCAAAACTCTGATTTAAAGATTTAGATGTGAATTTAAATGAGACTTTATAATATGATTTGGTTTTATTTCTAAACATTTATACATAACACTGTTGTATGCAGAATAGATGTAGTAAAAGTGACTTTTCATTTTATTATGAGGAGCTTTTTGTGTATTTCTTTACAATCAGTTCCTGTAAGTGCATAAATCTCCAGTTACATGCTGGGCAAGTAGCTCTTACAAACCTTGTTGGAGCTCAAATCCCATTTCAATCAGATGTTTTTTAAAATTCAACCAAATAAAATACATTTCTGAGAGAAGGTACAAAAATGTCATACATCCAACTGGCTCTTTAGAATTACACGTGAACACAATTCTGGCTTATCGCTTGAGTTATGAAATCTACATCCCTGAATTTCAGTTAAGGATAAGTAAAGAAAACTAAAATGGAAGCTGCAAAACTCTGAATTAGGCTATTATCGATGACGGCAGTGTGAAAAGTCAAAAATAAGGCAGTATATGTGCTGGAAGCTAAACAGTTTCTTATTACTGCACCTTTTCCTTCGGTACTGCGGTGTTTCAATCACAGCTTTGATAATAAACCTCGTATCATCGCGGATGTCGCAGGCCTACCTTCAGTTCTGACGCACAGGGTGTTTTTCCGCAGAAAAAGTCGCAGGTGCATTCCGGTTTAGAGCTACAATCAGCCATGCAGAACTGCTCTCCGGTACCGGAGGACGGCGGGTTTTGGGAAGACTTTGAGGAGAACATGTTGCTTCAGTGTTAGGAGAGCGTGTGTGTCTATCTGCGTGTGTGTGCTCACTACTCACAGTCGGGGTAAAAGTCCTCATAGAGACACAGGTCTGATAAGAATGAACGGCCCGAGTCGCTATTACGTCGTTTTCACACACCCGTTTTTCGCATTAACAAAATCTAATTTAGGAAATTTTTTATGTTGCACGATTTTTGCATGCAGAGAGGTAGTTACACTATAAAACAAACAAAATAAAGTTTGTAAAATGACCAATAAAAATTAAGTATTATTCAAATTAAAATAATTGTCTACAAAGACAAAAACTTTTCTTAACCAGTTTTCTTAAAGGTTTTCTGTAAAGTTCTACAAAAGGTTCCAGTTAAATTCTAGAAGGATTGTATGGAAGCCAATTTCTGCCACTGCCAATCAGCTGCAAACGTGTTTCATGCCTCTTAACCAGGGGCGCCTCCAGAAAATTTTGATAGGGGTGGCCAGATGGGACCAAAGACATTTTTGGGGTTGCTCACCAAATTGATCCTTGTGGTAACTCTGGGAGAATTTAGCCTGCAGCAATGTACTGCATTGCACCTTTATTCATTTTTATTAAAATAGCAGTACGTATCCAAAACATTTCACTTAAATTTTACAAACACAAACATTTTAGAAAAATACATTTCAGTTATTTAAAATGTTATCCCAAATGTAATTAAAACATTTTTTAGGTTTATTCACCTGTGTTGCTACGTTCACACACAAAAAAACATAAAATAATTTTAAAAAAAAATTGGAATGATGAGCAGCAGAAACGCATGTAGTTTTTAAATTCTGATTATTTCTTTACTCATTAATTGTAAATTTCTTTTGTTTTACAATTATGTCTTGAATAAACAAGATCAATATATGGTTTGACTGAACAGTAATTTGATTTGTCAACACTGGCTATTCCTGGGGGGGGGCAGCAATTTTCTAGAGGTGGCCATGGCCACCCCTTGGGGGCGCTGTTGCTCTCAACGTTCTGTGGAGATTTTAGAAAAAATTAATAAAGTGGTTATCTCACATTTGTCTAAAACCTCGGCTAATAACACAGCTCGGACCTGAAAACAGCCATTTGACCATCTGGTTGTCGGTCTTGCTGAACCGCCATATTTCTGCAATTCCATGTGAAAATGGCAACTGGTGCTTAGCGCTCTCTTGTTTCCTCTGGCAATGTGGGTTTTCGGTTCCAGCAGGAAGATACCTGATTTTACATTGGTTATTGAGGTAGCATGAAAAGGTTCTAATTAAAAGGAAACCATCTTTAACCATCAGTGATCATCTTTGTTCGAATGGGAGCTACAGGAGGGGTGAAGTGTTCTGTAACTGTGTTAGCGTTCAAAGCTTAGCTTGTTTGCAGATTTGATAACAGCTTTCAAATAAAATAAAAAGTTGTTACATGGTATGATTTTCAAAGTTGTGGAGATACAAAGCTATGAAAGTCATTATGATTAATTTGATATACAAAAAGTGAGTGAGACATAATAAAAGTCCAACATTTACATAAAACAACACCAAATATTTGTATATTACATATGTTCTGTTTATTTCCTGTTGATGTTCAAAACTTACATTTTGTTTAAATTTAGAAATTCATGTTTACAAAATTGACTTTGAACTGGAAATCATCTTTTAAAGGTACCATAAAAATTCTGATGCACCAGCCAATAATGGCTGGATTTGGGTGATTTAAGACTTGAGTTTTCTGCTTCATTGTGCCTTTATCAGGCATTTTAAGTGTTTTCTATCTGAATGTTTAAAACGGTAAATAAATCCAATCTTACTTATTGTAGAGAAATGATAAATGGCTTATCAAGTCCAAGACTTCAAAGCACTTTACACTACAGTCAGTCGTTGGTCCATTCACACAATGGTGATGAGCTACACCAGCCACAGCGGCCCTGGGGCACACTGAAGCTGCCATACACAGGCACTACTGGTCCCTTTGACCACCACCAGCAGGCAAGGTGGGAGAAGTATATTGCCCAAGGACTCAAGCACAGAGACAGGCAGAGTCTGGAATTGAACTGGCAACCCACTGGTTCAGGAAACTATAAAACCAGGTAAGACAAAAATTATGTATACATTTATTTATTTATTTATTTATTGCATTTTTAACAACTATTTTAAACGTTTATATGACACTCCAATCTAAAGGACTAAAAAATTTATTTTGTGATGTGAACTGTCAAATTTTAGATTTTCAGTCAGATAATAGGACCCCAAAAAGTTGTTTTTAAACAAAGGCTAATTATAATTCACAGAGAAAACCAAATCAGATTTATTTGTAAAATGGACCAAAAAATATTTATATAATTTTTACATGAGCTCAACTATTATTAAAAACAGTGAATGTTTGTGAACTGATCTGGGAGCAGCAGATTAAAGATTAACTCTGCTGCTGCTCACATGACTACTGCTGCTTTGTTTTAGATTACAGATCCACCTGACCATCACATGGTAATAAAAACCTAAACCTGACTTTTATCCACATCATGTCCTAGTTTTTAGTTTTCAATTATGTATTTTACTGTTACAATTAGGCCAATAAAGTCTAAGAAGGTGTGACAGGATGTTTTTCTGATTCATCTGCGTCACAAACCAACTGTACTAGAGGGGAGTGGATGACTATAATCAGAGGTTACCTTTGTTGAAAGACAGGAGATGGTTTTGACCACTGAGTTGAAACTTCAGCTCTTTGATGACTTTTTGTGATCCACGTAATGCTGACCGAGAACAAACCACGACTAAAGGAGCCTTGAAACCTAAGCCATTCTTGCATACATGTATTTTCTAGTAAAAATACTAAAATGCACTCCACTGTGATATGGCTGATGACCCAGATGACACCAAAGGACCTGGACTAATGCTTGTTTCATAGGTCTACATGTGTAGAAGTTCTAACCTGCATTTGGGGCGGGCCAATAGCAGTCTCTTGACTACTTTTGCAATGTGATGCAAAGGACAAGTAAGGTGGTTGTCATCCACATCATTTCTCCTAGGTCAGGCTAAGGCTGAAGAGAGGCTGCAGAATTCCACATAGCTGCTCTGCACAGGCCTGAAGGACTCTGGGGATGACATCTGGACCTGGAGCTAGGTTTTATCTCTCCTGTGGCATCTTCATATGACTACTGGAGCCAGACAGGTGGGAGGGGCGAGGTTAGGGGAGCAACAGCATCTACTGATGTAATTTATGACAAGGATGAATTTGCAGCTGCAGGATCCATGATTCAGACAAGGAATACATGAATGAGGTGTGAGAGAGAAGCTGTGGGTCAGCAGAAGGTGGGCTGGGGACAGGTTGGGCGCATGCTGAACTGAATTGTTTGAACAACATGTTCATTGACTTTGTCTAGACCTCCAGCTGTCTCCCGTTCTCTGCTTAAAGCCAGTGATGTTCTTCATCCCCAACTACATAATTTCTTTTTCTTGCTGGAGCTTGATCTCCAGTGTTTTTCTGTAGGTCCCCTTGTTTCATATTTTGGTATCAGCTAGTACTCTCATTCAGACAAACCCAACAACACGGTTTATAACTTTTCTTTACTGTTTATATTCTGGTGCTAAATTATCAAGGAGATCTTCGTGTGAAGATTAGAAGCCATCACTGAGCTAAAGACCACCTTCTCTTCGGCTTAGTGTTGACAGAAATTTATGCCGAGACTTCCAAACACAACTCTTGACAAATAATGAGCTACTTGGGAATAAAAGTAAGTTCTTCATTTAAAAAATATTGAAGACAAGCTGTTATAAATATGATATATTTCTTTGATATGGTACTCTGACGAGATATGCCGTTCATCATTCTTTTATTTATTCAATTTAAAGCTTCGCTCAACAGTTGTCTGTTGCCCACAATGTCTGTTTTACATCTATTGTCCACTTGATGGTGCAGCTGCGCAGTAAAACAAATGAAGCACCTAACGACGTGAAAAAACCTGATCAGTCCTTACGTTTTCTTATCCCAGTAAAAGTAATTTATCGATTTTTTACTATATTAAATGAAACAAACGTTAAGTTTACGAACGGGTAAAAACAAATTTCTGAAGGTTTTCCAAATCTTCAATGATTTATTGCGTTTGACTTAAGTTTTTTTAACCAGGCAAATATTTGGGCACCTATGACCACTTAGACACAACATGGTCCTTCGTTTAGCGCCACTTTGGATTAGTCTTTTAGTGTAAAAGGACACTTTACAGCATAACTAGTTGTCGTATTAAATAAAACTCGGTGGTTTGAATAAAATGTTCATTAGCAAAATATAAGACTTATATAGAAAGTTACGCAAGCCCTTTAATATTAGCTGCGGATTAGCTAGAAGGCAGAAAGCTGAGCTTCTGTAGGGGTAAGTCGTCATTTTATCTGTCTGTAAGTTACTTTGGTTATGTTTATCGGTTTTATTTCTCGCATAAGAAATTGACATTTTAAACACAATGACAGCACGTCATATTTAACTAGTAGCATCCAGTCTTTCTCTGTTCAGCCCTTCACCGGGTTAAGAATGCACTCAAATAAAGACCTCGAGGAAGTGAGTAAAAACAAACACCACAAATAAAGTTTTTCAAACCAGTTTAATGACTGACGTGAATCTTCATTTCTCAGTTTCATCCCATCTAGTCTGCCTAAAACCACAGACCGGCATAAGTTCTGATTTTACGGTGGTTTAGGGAGTTAATAATAAGATAATAATAATGACAGCACACAAAACGAAAATTTATGAGTTAAATCAAATTACGTTCTCAAATGAAAGCGATAGAATAGTTGAGTGAATATTACAATAACCCCTGTAAAAGTGGGTTATTAATTGTGCTAGTGGTGCTGCAGACCAATGAAGTCTCTGAAGTCCAGCTAACAGCAGAAGGTGTAAAAACAATGACACATTTTGTCTTCTAAATATTAGTTTAGAACAGGAGAAGAGCTCAAACTGCAATTTGTGGTGTTTGTTTGTATCAGACAGAAGAAAGCTTTAGAGATATCTGTCATCATTTCTCTGCTCTCACCTTTGCAAAGATTTTGTAATAAATTCTTGTTAAATCTTTTAAACACACTTTTGGTAAAAATATCTTTTTTTTTTGTTCAAAATACTGAGAATGATTAGTTGTGTTGTTTATATTCGTCCCTTCATTTCATTAAAATACAGTAAAAATTATCTTTCAGGGTTATTTGCTTGGCTCGTCTTAAATCAGCACTGAAATGGACTGTAAGTAGTGAATTTAAAGCACAGGACTGTTGGGTTTCAGAGCAAATGGTCACTTTATAAGTTTTCCTACTCAGGTGAGGATGATCTTGACATTCTGACGGCCCTATTGGATGAGGGCGATGATGTTGGTGAAGCTCAACATGGCCAGGAACAGGTGGACGACTGGGATTGCCTGTTTGGTGCGGACGGTGATGAGGAGGAAGAATACAAGGAGGGTAGTGAAGAAGAAGCGGTGGCCAAAGAGGATGTAGTGTTGGAGCTGTTTGGAGATGTTGAAGACATTGAAAAGGAGGAGAAAAACATAAAAGGAAAAGGAGGTGCCAATGAGAACCCGAACCAGTCCAAAGAGGATTTACAAGGTTTGATCTGAAGTTGCTACTACTTAAATCTGCATTTGGTTCATCCACAGTGGAATTTTTCTAAGTTTTTGTGGTTTTGTTTCTGTATCGTTTCATCTCGTTCAGAGGAGTTGAGGAAAATGCAGAAGCAGATGCAGAAACTTCAGCAGCAACTGGAGGCAAGCCACAAAGTTCCAGCCGCTAAAACCACTACAGCAGCAAGTCCTAAATCAGAGGTCCTAAAGCCATCCCTGACCCAGCAACCAGAACCCAGACGGGTCAGAGCCAAAGCAATTCCAACACTGATGCAGTCAGGTAAACATTTTGCTGCTCAACAATCATGCATATTTTTCAAGTTAAGCTTTTTTTTTAATCATAAATTCCTAAATTCACCAAAATCCTTATTTTTCTGGTTCTGTTTCACCATATTTTTTTTTACCAGCATCAACATCTTCATCCACTCCAGTCAGAGCAGGAAGCTCAAATCTCCAAGAATCCACAGATTTTTTATCTCAGCTCAACAACGGAGATTTGTTTAAACGAAAACCTCGAGTGGCTCACAAACTCAAAGCATCCTCACCTGGTACTTCTACCCTTCCATCGTTTAGCCATTCACCTTCAGATTATTCAGGTCTCACCAGCTGATCTGTCAGTCAATGCTGCAGGTTTCATCTACAAAAGCTTTTTCTTCAATGTTTTTAGAGGACAGAAAACCACTGGTGGAGGTAAAGCTTGGCAGCTCCTTCCAGGCATTAGAAAGCAGCAGCCAGGCCCTGGAGCGTCTCCTCTCTCCTCCTTCTTCCCACAGCACACATGCACCAACTGCATCAGCAGGACCTTCTAAACCTGCTGCTCCTCTTCCTCTACCCAAAGATTTAAATATTGAGAAGTACTCAGGCCTACGGATCAGGTCAGAGCACTAACGTAAGGGGAACCTTTGTTCTGTTAGTGATTCATACAACATCTGTAGGTTTCTTGTTGGTTTGCAGAAGGCCACGTGTTTCCTCGAGTGAGATGGACCGCAAGATGGCTGACCGCCGCCTGATTCGCCTTTCGCAGGTGCCAGAGTGCTTAAAAAGGGAGAAGCTGGAGGATAGCGACTGGGTGACGTTTGCAGTTCTGGTCAACAAAGCCACGCCTCAGAGCAACAGCAGTGTAAGTGGGTGATCAGATGTCTGGCAAAGTTCTGTTTTACAGAGCGGGCTGTACAGATGACCCTGAATTAGGGTCGCTCCATAGAAAAGACCACAGTGTGATAAATATAGACCATCAGGAAAATGCATGGGCTTTTTTAATGGAGAGAAAAATCTTAAAGAAATGTTTTTGTCAGTGAAAAACTGGTGGAGGAGATTTTGTTTATGTTTATTCATTTAGCAGACGCTTTTATCCAAAGCGACTTACAATTTATAACCTATAGGGCATGTTGTGATCTGTGGGGGAAACCGGAGTACCCGGAGGAAACCCATGCATGCATGGGGAGAACACGCAACTCCACGCAGAAAGGCCACAGCCGAGTTTCGAACCTGCAACCTTTGTGCTGCGAGGCAACAGAGCTAACAACTGCGCCACCATGCAGCCCCATGCAGGATTAATCTATAGTAGAGTCAGCCAATGGACTGGATGAGCTGCCGATTTTCATGACTGATATCTAGAGTTTTCCACATTATTTAAATGCTAATCTGGATCATTAATACCAAACATTTCGAAACCTGATCAGTTATTCAGCACAAAGTTTAACTAGGCTGATGTTTAAGAACATAAATATACATTCAAACCAGGACCATGACTAGACCCGTTCTATAGGACCAGGACTAGACCCGTTCTATAGGACCAGGACTAGACCCGTTCTATAGGACCAGGACAAGACCCGTTCTATAGGACCAGGACAAGACCCGTTCTATAGGACCAGGACAAGACCCGTTCTATAGGACCATGACTAGACCTAATCTATAGGACCATGACTAGACCTGATCTATAGGACCATGACTAGACCTGATCTATAGGACCATGACTAGACCTAATCTATAGGACCATGACTAGACCTGATCTATAGGACCATGACTAGACCTGATCTATAGGACCATGACTAGACCTGATCTATAGGACCATGACTAGACCTGATCTATAGGACCAGGACAAGACCCGTTCTATAGGACCAGGACAAGACCCGTTCTATAGGACCAGGACAAGACCCGTTCTATAGGACCATGACTAGACCCGATCTATAGGACCATGACTAGACCTGATCTATAGGACCATGACTAGACCTGATCTATAGGACCAGGACAAGACCCGTTCTATAGGACCAGGACAAGACCCGTTCTATAGGACCAGGACAAGACCCGTTCTATAGGACCATGACTAGACCCGATCTATAGGACCAGGACTAGACCCGTTCTATAGGACCAGGACTAGACCCGTTCTATAGGACCAGGACAAGACCCGTTCTATAGGACCAGGACTAGACCTGATCTATAGGACCAGGACTAGACCCGTTCTATAGGACCAGGACTAGACCCGTTCTATAGGACCAGGACAAGACCCGTTCTATAGGACCAGGACTAGACCCGTTCTATAGGACCAGGACAAGACCCGTTCTATAGGACCATGACTAGACCTGATCTATAGGACCATGACTAGACCTGATCTATAGGACCAGGACTAGACCCGTTCTATAGGACCAGGACAAGACCCGTTCTATAGGACCAGGACAAGACCCGTTCTATAGGACCAGGACAAGACCCGTTCTATAGGACCAGGACAAGACCAGTTCTATAGGACCAGGACTAGACCTGATCTATAGGACCAGGACTAGACCCGTTCTATAGGACCAGGACTAGACCTGATCTATAGGACCAGGACTAGACCCGTTCTATAGGACCAGGACAAGACCCGTTCTATAGGACCAGGACAAGACCCGTTCTATAGGACCAGGACTAGACCCGTTCTATAGGACCAGGACTAGACCCGTTCTATAGGACCAGGACAAGACCCGTTTAATGGGACCAGGACTAGACCTGAGCAGTAGGGACTATGTGGTCCTGTTTGGGGGGATGGAGGAAACACTGGTAATAACCTTTAGAACCACAGCCCTGTTCACACCCTTCTTAATAAAAAGTCATTTTCACTAACAGGAAATATGTGAGTCAAAATTTTCCAGAGATGCTTCATGCGTTCTGCACTGAGGGCTTCTGTTCCTGTTTGACTCCGCTAACATCTTTGCAGGGCAAAACCTTCAGCATATGGAAACTCAGCGACCTCCACAACCTGGAGGTCTTTGTGTCTCTGTTCCTGTTTGGTGACGTTCACAAGGAGCACTGGAAGATGGAGCTAGGCACGGTCATAGGACTCCTAAACCCCAACTCCATGAAGCAAAGAGATGGATACGACGGGGTGAGTGTGTCCTCTCACCTTTTAGGAGCTGTAGGAGGTGTAGTTTAGTAAATATTTAATAAATAGTTGTTTTCATCACTTAAGTTGCAATCAGACATCCAGCCGAACCATAGTCTGATTTGAGGATCCAGGCTGGAGAACAAGAACACCTTTATTTGCATTTTGTAGTTTATTATGTAATTATTACATTTTTGTTTGTTTTTGTTTGGCTTCATAAGTCAGCCAGGAAGAGCTGTACAGCCACTTCTTTAGGGAAATTCACTGCAGCATGCACTGGGGTGGGCCTGTGGTTTTCTATCAGAGCAGGAAACCGTAAAAAGATGGATCTTTACTTATTGTAAGCTGGATAAATGAAGAGTAAAACACAACCTTTAAGGTTTAGACACTGGGCTGTTGTCTGTAGGATAATGGTGCAGCAGTGGCTTGTTGATGTCTTTAGTTTAACAAACAATTCAGTCATCTCTACTTTGCTGTTAGACAATCAGTCTAAAATTATCACTATCAGTCTTAAAACAGCGACTCGAGCTCTTAAACAACTCTTTAACCAGATTCAACCTTTGGCAAAGCAGGGATGAAGGTCGAAAGTCTTGTGAATGCTGCAAGTTGATTCTCCCTCCCTAAAACAACAGCTTGTGTTTCCTCACAGGTGAGTTTGACGGTGGACCACTCCCAGAAGGTGCTGGTTATGGGTGAAGCTCAGGACTTTGGGACCTGTAAGGCTGTGAAGAAGAATGGAGAGCCGTGCTCTCAGATTGTTAACATGGTGGGTCCCTGCTCTCCTCCAGGCTCTGCTACACTTCTTTCTTTATTCTTTCATCACATGTTTTTTTTCCATTTGGACGTTTCTGCAGTACGAATGCCAGTACTGCCAGTATCATGTCAGAGCCCAGTATAAGAAGATGAGCTCCAAGAGAGCAGAGCTGCAGTCGTCATACTCTGGAAAACCCCCCAACAGGGTGAAGGGGAGGGGGGGGCTCAAAGAGCGCCTGTGTCAGGATGGTTTTTACTACGGCGGCGTGTCCTCCGCCGCCTGCGCCGCTTCTCTGTGAGTAAATGTCAGTTTAACTCATCGTCCTCATTTGAACTTGTTTTAACAAACGTGCTTGCTGCAGAACGACGTCCAAAGTGAAAAAACCTGCCCAGAAAACTCTGGATAGCCTGTTCATTAGAGGTTCGGCTCAGCTCATCAGTCAGGCCAAGAGGCTCGGTGAGGACTGAACGCTCTAATTTCATATAAACATGTTCATAAACTTGTCTTATTTACTAATAAGATTTATTCAGTTGTCATAAAGTTTGTTTCTGCTATGAATGAAGGACATTCTGATGTTTAAGTTTCTCTGCTCAGCCATTCAGTCGGGCGAGGTTTCCGGTTGCTCTGACGATTTTAAGACCTTGATGTCTGCGCCAACACCAGGAGCTCTGCAGCTGAAGAAGCACCTGTCTCAGAGCAGCCCCTCAGGTACAGGACCTGCATGCAGTTCGGTGTTTATGTTTGTGTATTAAAGAACACATTTTTAAAAAGGTATTTCTTGTATCCAGTACTCTGACTAAATAATCTTTATCGACCTTCTGTTAGTTCCCAAAGACCCAGCTGGAGCTCCACTTCAGTCCATCTCGGCCTCCGATCTCTTGAAGCAACAGAAACAGAGGCAGCGTGAGCTCCTCGCCACCCGACAGCAGAGAGCAGACGAAAGGAGGCAGCAAATCTCTGGAGGCGTCAGGTCCACACAAGGTGGCTTAATGTCCCCAAAAGCTGCTTCTGAGGTCCCTAAGGTGACTCGGAGCCCCGCAGCTCCTCACACCCCAACCCTCGGCCGAGGTTTCACCCAGGGAGATGACATCCTCTTCTTTGACAACAGCCCTCCTCCAGCTCCGCCTTCCAGCAGTCTCAGCCTGTCAGCTGCCAAGATGGCCGCGCTGAAGAAGCTGAAGGCCAAAGGAATGGGGCTGGACAAAGAAGACCCTAACGCTGTGAAGAGGAAGAGGAGCAACAGCAGTGAAATTAGCGCTAGAGTGGAGAAGAATCTGACCTCACCCACTGGTGGGTAAAGACTGGTCCTACAGAGAACTTCCCATAAGGAAGCATGGGGCTGGCTGGTCCGGCTAACAAACCGCATGAATCAGTGTATTCACACCGGCCCACATGGATTTAAATCTGTTACGGTCTGTTTTGTTGACTCAGGCGAATCATCTTGTAATGATGAGGAGGAGCCAGCCCAGAAAAAGAAACGCGAGCAGCTCGAGTACATCCAGTCAGAAGAGTTCCAGAAGATCCTCAATGCTAAGTCTCGACACCAGACTGTGCTGCAGGCGGTACGATGCCGGACTCTAAATGCGCCGCAGATAAAAGATCGGCATTTCATTTTCTTCATGAAGCTGCATGTTTGAAACACGTTGATGTGAATCTCTTACAGGCGGAGTACCAGCTGCAGGAGCGCTACTTTGATGTCCTGGTGAAGAAAGAGCAAATGGAGGAGAAGATGAGAGGAATCAGAGAGATGAAGTGTCGAGCGGTCACCTGTACAAAGGTGCAGCGTCGTTTGTTTTAAGGTGGTCCTGTCAGAAGCTGGAAACCTTAACGTCTCACATTTCTGGTTCCTCTAGTGTAACTACACCTACTTCAAGCCAGCAGACCGTTGTGTAAACGAGAACCACGCCCTGCGCTGGCACGATGCTTTAAAACGCTTCTTCAAATGTCCCTGTGGACAGAGGGCCATCGCTCTAGACAGGCTGCCCCACAAACACTGCAGGTAAACTGGAAACTTCTCACTGTTGCCTTCTTCATGCCACGCTTCCAGTCACTCCTTTGTTCTTTGAGACGCTGAAAACTGTTGTTTTGTTTTAGTAACTGTGGTCTGTTTAAATGGGAGCGTGACGGGATGCTGAAGGTAAGACCCAAAATATCTAGAGGTTGTTTAAATATCTACTGGATCTTCTGAGGTCAAATTAATCAGATTGTGTTTGTTAAAACATTTTCTTACAGGAGAAAATAGGGCCTAAAATTGGAGGAGAACTTCTTCAGCCTCGAGGAGAAGAACATGCAAAGTTCCTCAGCAGCATGAAGTGATTTCTGGAGGAGCAAATGCAGATTAGAGACATTTGTTTGTAATGATCGAAGTCTTAATGTTTCTACTAATCAAGTTTTTAAACATTCATTCTAACCCAATATGTACTGGATTTACTGGAGAGAGACTGAATTAAACTGTTCTCTGTGCTGAACTCAAGTGGTGCTAAATGGTGACTTAGAAATGATTGAGCACGTTCCAGAGGATCAGTGATGAAGTGAGTCTTAGTGGAGTGTACTGTTCTTGTAGAAAGGCCAAGTAAGAGAAAGAGAGAGAGAGAGAGTGTGTGTGTGTGTGTGTGTGGGGGGGGGGGGGTAGCAAAATTCTCATTAACCATGAAGTCAGTTTTAACAAAACTCATAATTTACAAACAACTCAATTTCAAGATGGCCACCACAGCTGATTAAATTAACAAAGTCAAACAGTCAGATTCGTGAGTATTAAGTTAAACTCAGATGTGCTGTTCATTCACATCAGGTGGTTGCTGACAGATAGGTCAAGCGATGGTTTTATTTTCAGGATTTGACCCACAGGGCTTAGTGCTCTACACCTTAGTGGGTGTTTTGCTTTCTTTTCATGGAAGTGTGGGCCTTTAAAGTTCTAACTCATCTGATTCAAATAAATTAGGCGTGAAATTGTACATTTTATTGTTTTTTATTACAACAAAATAATTTTTATATAGTTTTAGTCATTTTGTTTTTTGTCTTGTGGTTTTTATCTTGAGCGCTATATAAAAGTGTTTCTTCTTAGCAGAGGCTCTTACACAGAGACTTGCAGTGTTCAATAAGCCAGTGCAGTGAACCCTACATGCATGTTTTTGGTATGCGAGACAAAACTCCCAGCATACATTGGGAAAACGCACATAAAGTCTGCAGCTGGGATTCAAACTGGCAACCCTTTAGCTGGAAGGCAGCGGTGATACCAGTGTATCACCATGTGGCTCACTTTTGTACTTTGCTTCATTCAGTTTTTACTTTTTTATGTTACAAAAGTTTAGGAGTCGGTTAATCTGAAAAGAAAACCATCTGCCCCATTTCTTTAACCCCCAGAGACCCACGGTTGTAATATTACAACATCAGATTTAAGTCTACAAAAATAAACCTCCATTTTTTTTCTTTTTAAAACCACATTTACATTGCTAATAGGTCCTATTGTTCAGTTCTGCAACACTATTGGCTGTTAAAATGTGTAAATAGGCCCGTTTATCTGGCCTCCTAGAACAACATGTGAAAGGTTAAAAAAAGATTTTGCAGTTGTTTCCTAAATTTGGGTTTCTGGGGGTTAAGGACCCCCTCGACCCCAACTGGTCACTTTACTCTTTTAAGATTTGTTTTATAATTTACTAATAACCTGTTTTCACTGATGAATTAACAGTCCTTTTCATAAAGTTACGCCCTGAAGGAGAAACGGAAATGTTTGGGATCATTCGGGCTGTATTTGTTTTACCCTTTATCCCATTTCTACCTTTTTGTTCCTCTTGGCTCCTCTCTCTGTCCGCTTCAGCCAGCTGATGTTTAATATTTCCACTCTGGATTGTGGATTCTTTGCAGGCTGATGACTTCAGCAGCTTTTCTGTCTGCGCCTTTCATTTCACACCGCCTCTTCTGCTTTAAATAATTCAAATGCCAGACATTGCAAAGCCAGTTAAAGGAATGGAAACTGATCTTTATTTTTTCTTCATTTAAACAGATCTGCAAAAACTAAACCAGCACAACCCTGTGTAGGCAAATGTTCTGTTTCTGCTAATACAGTGCAAAAATCATGACATGAATTCACTTCAATGTACAGATAATCATGCAAAACATTAAGCCTACTATCTAGAACTGCACAATACTCTGCAGTGTGCCACGTTACTCAGTAAAAATGTTTATATAACGTAGCTAGGAGATACCTTGTTGGTACAAATACATGGATAAATTGAGCACTTGCTCTCAAACTGTTTAATAGGTAAAGTTAGTTTTGTGGTATAATGAGAAGTGCTTTAGTCCGGCTCTTGGTGGATCTCAGTGAAACCAGTAAAATCGAGGATAGAGCCCGTCGTAGTGGTACTCTCGCCACTGCTCACCCGTCTCCCTCGACCTCTCATTTACTTCTGTGGATGTAAAAAAAAATTGCATTCATTAAAACGAAAAATAATGCTAGAATAAATATTAGCTCTAGGGATTGAATAAGAATAAAATTATTTTTATCAGATTATAATTGTGAATTCAACTCTAAAATCATTGGGGAAAATCCTCACATGGATTGGGTCAAAAGTGATGGGGAAACTCGCTGGAGTTTCCATTTTTATCAACATGGTAAATGGCTTGTATTTGTATAGCACCTCATTGTTCTACCCCCCCCCCCCCCCCCCAAGGCACTTTACAACCATCCATCCATTGACACGCTGGTGATTGTGAGCTACAATGTAGCCACAGCTGCCCTGGGTCACACTGACAGAAGCGAGGCCTGCCAAACGCTGGCGCCATCAGTCCCTCTGACCACCACCAGCATCAACATGTTTCGTTTAGCTTTAACCCTCTGGAGGCAGGCGTTGCAGATTTGCAACGTTAAAACCTACCTACCTGGTTACTCTACATACGTATTTCATGAGCATTTTTTTACTCAGAAGTACCCCTGAAGTACTTAGTTGTTCGTCCTTTTATCAAAACTTATTTTGAGCCTGAGAGGGTTAAACTGGTTGTGTCATTGTGAGATTCCCCCTTTTTTTCATGACGATTAAAGAAATATTTAGCTTTTTTTGTCATTTCCTCATGAAACAGATTCTTGAAGATATCTGTTTTTTGTGTGAGCCTATGCATTTTGACAGTTTCTTCAGCTTCAAACACCAAAATCTTTTCAAATGGATCTTTCCTCATGAGTCTTTATCTGGTGTTAGACGTTATAGATGTGGCCCTAATTGGAAGCTGTCCATTTGAGGGTTTGCCTGAAGTGCTTCAACTGATTTTAGAAATAATATTTGGTTTCTTCACTTTTCACTCTAGTTTATTTTTTCTTTACATTTGACAAAAGAGTGCAAGCTGTGGCTACTTAGCCTACATTCTTTAGTCACTTTGTTGCATCTAGCATTTCACATGTACTGCTCTAAAATATGCTACTTATGTTTCATTAATGATTAAGTTGGATATTATGGGTAAATGCTACAAATATAGAGTCCAGACACATTTGTACAGGATGTTTTTATATAATAACAACAAAAATACCAATAGTTTAAATAAATTTTAACATTTCTAGTAAACCCATTTTTCATTGGTTGTTGATGACATTTTCTGACAGAAGAAACCTAAAAAATGTGACCACTGTCTAACATAAATGATCCTGTTTTCTTCTAAAATCTCCATTCAACCTTCTTGTGTCTTTTAAATAGAGCCGGATCACATCTTTGTGGTCAGTAGTTCTTAGTTTAGAAACTGGAAAAGCGACTATCACAGTTTCCTGACCACAGCGGGGAAGACTGTCCACTTTTGGTGGACCACAAATAAACAGTTTGAAATGGCGTGGAGTCAGGCTCCCTCCTGCGGTCCAACGGTTCATCTGTTCCAGATCTTTGTCCTGATGTGTGCTCATTTGAAATTCCAGTTAATTTTAGGTTTTTGGTGAAGCTTTGCTGGGGGGGACGTCTCACATTGGACTGGAAATTGTACTTTGCTCTTCATGACATGCCCAGTTAGCTGAATTAGACTCATGCAAGAATCTGATTGTGCATTTGATCTAAAGGTCTCACCATCACGATCCTCCTCGAGGTAGTTCTCATACTTGTTCCTTCGCTCTTCATTAAGCTCTCTCCTTCGTAGGCTGTCTGCTCTTTTCACTCTCTGCTCAGCTGTTGAGGAAGAACAGAAAACGTTGCTCAGACCTGCTTAAAATAAGTGAAACCAGTTATTCATAAACACCTACCATAAAAATATTATTAGCTAATCAATAATATATCCCAACTATTTGAGTTCATCAACCTCACAGCCTCAGAGAAAAAGCTGTTCCTCGGTCCTATTGTCAAGACTTTGATGCTGCTCAGTCTCCTGTCTGAAGGAAGGAGGGTGAATACCTCATGGGGTCCATCATGCATCTTATTAGGTTGGAAATACTCATCATCATCATCATCATGCTTTATTTATATAGCGCTTTTCACTTCCCTCAAAGGGGACCCAAGGCGCTGAACAGAAACAGTTACAAAGATAAAAATAGAAATGATATTTTCTTCTTCTTCTAAAAAGTGGTAGCAAGTCATAAAAACACTAAAAACAAAATTAAGAACATAGACATTACTGAGAACAATAAAATGCAAATGAGATAAAAATTTAGATAAAAGAAAATTAAACTTAAGTAGTTAAAATAAATCAAAACAAAGAATAAAAACCAGAAACCAAAAGCATTAGGAGAAAGCCATCCTATCAAAGAGTCTTCAACCTGCTCCTAAAGACTGCTAGTGATGGGGACTGATTGATGAGTGCATGGGAGCTGGTTCCAGAGAGAGGGTGCAAGGACTTGAAAAGTCCGACCACCACGAGTCTTAAATCGGGTGCGAGGGACGATAAGCAATTTCTGGTCAGTCAACCGTAGTGACCTTGAGGGAACATGCTTTATTAAGAGCTCTGCTAGTAGGTGGGGGCACTGCCTTGGAAAACCTTAAACACAAAAAGCTGAATTTTATACTACCGGTATGCCCGGTATGAGAATGGTAACCAGTGAAGGGAGGCCAGCACTGGAGAAATGTGGTCCCTTTTCCTAGCTCCAGTCATACTTGCTGTGTGCCGACGTGTACGCTTGTTTAAAATGGCTGCCTCACATAATTTTCATTCATTTGAAACTAGTGTGAAACTGAAATTAGTGTGACGGGTTTGCATGCTGCAATATACGAGTAACCGGTAGCTGGAGTTGAAGCGAGCAAGATACACTCACTCAGTCTCTTCAGAGGTCTTTCGTGCTATCAATGATACTGTTGTTGCCACTAGGGGGCAGCATAGAACAAGAGAAGTAGGTAGGACAGGGAAAAAGTCTTGTGGGAGTTGAGATGGATACCTGATACTGCTACATTGGATGTAGGTTTGAATAAAACTTGGAAAAGGAATTCTTGCCTATTTTTGCTACTTTCTAATACAATGACCTATCGTAACAGATACCGCTGTGGTCCTTTTTTCTGTCGTGATCTCAAAAGTTAGCCAGTTACTGATGTCTTTTATTGATGCCATGTTTGTTTTGGTTGTACCTTGACTGTACTCTACAAACCCGGGACTCTATCCGATCTATAATTTACTGTGCCCCTATAGCAGAATCCTCCATGCAGTGCAGCAGCAAGTATGGGAACAAAGACACAGTCTCCTGCCTGCTGCCCGCACCACTGCAAGGTTAAAAGGCAAGTATATTTCCAGCCTTAAATCTAGCCTATTTATATAGTGTTGACCATATACATCATCATATGTGGCTGATTTGGACATTTAACAGCCTCTAGCCTTCTTTTCCTGATATTAGAGCAAACAAAAATGATTTCACTTTCTTGTGCTTGTATCTGTTTCTGGGCTGCTCCTTTTACTGACTTCAATTCTGTCCACAACACTGCTGATCTTTGCTGGCAGTTTCAGTATTTTGCCAGTCCAGACATGGCAACCTTGTGGGCTTAAATATGATTGGCTCTGGAACCCCTTGGAAGTACAGAGGCAGGACAGATTACAAAGACCAGAGGTGTTTCTCAATGTCAAGGCGTCTGGCCTTGCATGACATCACCAGGCACTTTGCTGACGAGGCCACTGTTTTTCCTTGGTCAAAGAAAACGGTTAAAAGAAACTGACTTACTTCAGCGAGTACGAGAGTTACTACCTGTCATGTGACACTTGAGGTAAAGTTATATTTTATATGTATGAGTTTCAATATAAATGTATAACAAGCTTTTTACTTTTTAGTATATATTGGTTATATGTAAGGACAGGGCTGCCAACTTTTGAACATTTCGATGCGTGAGAGTGGGGGGGTGGGGGAATGCGCTGACTGTTTATCACCCTTTTGTCAAACGTCACAGCGGGCAGTGGGAATTGATTGGTCAGCAAGAGATGTTGGATGTGTGGTGTGAGAGAGAGTGAAGTGGGTCAAATGTGTGTGTCTCACGCTCAATGCGTAAGAGTTATTGGCAGCCTTGTAAGCGAGTAACTATCTGCTAGCTGTTGAAGCTACAACTACTGAGCAACTAACAACCCATAGATAACTGCTTTGGATCTAAAAACATTTTAGGTGAAAGCCTGATGGCTCCAATTAATTGACTTACATTTAAACTGGAAATTTGCCCTCGAAGTAGTTGCTGGCTCCTGATCTGCCATCCTTTTGAAATTACCGCTGTATTCTGAGAAATTTTTTACCAAGGCTAGGCTAGACACCTCCCGTGTAACCTTTCTTCAGCTAGCTAAACGGCTAACAAATGGAGATGAGACGTCTTGGTAGAACTTGAACATTGGAACACGTCTTGGCAGTTCCTGATTACGTATCTCCTAGGCAACATCTCCTAGGCAACTGGGGTGAGACCAAGGCATTAATGTGTTGATTCCTTGACATTGAGAAACATCCTCCCTTTTTGGCTTATTAAAAGAAGAAAAACTGACAACACTCCAGTCAGCTGAGAAGGAAATCTGTTTCAATGTAACCTTCTTTCCAACATGATGGAGACATCAGACTGTTTTGTGATTAATTTGACATTAAATTCTTACATATTGCCCCTTTAACTGCAACAAGTTTAAGGTTTGACCTCACAAACAGGGATCCCTTTACCAAACTATCTCTGAAGAGGCAAAAGATTTCGGTAAGACTGTTTGGAACATGCCACTAATCACCATCAAGATAGCCTTATCTCATAAATTTGCTAAATGGCTAACAGTTGCCTGCATATGGGTTTCTTTTTCCTGATGAAAGTTTTTTAATACAAACTCAAAAACACTGCTTAAGTATAGGCACCCCTCCAGGGTCAAAATCTCATTAACTTTAGCAACTTAAGCTCATGCTCTGGAATATATTTACTGCTGCAAATAGTTTTATGCCTTCATGCAGTGTTAGGAGCATGTGGATGGCTAATGATCAGCTGATGTGGTTCAGAGTAAAGTTCCTGCTTATTGATTTATTGAAGAACTCCGTGTGATTCCAACACAGAAAACAGGATGCCATTAAATGCAAGGAAAGCTTATTAACTTTATATCTGAAGAATGTTTCTGCTAGAGGGGTTGTACCGTGGAAATTCTGACTATGGGCTTTGCCAGCAAGAACATCTGTTGGCTAATATGTTTGCCGCAGTTTGTTTTTCAGTTTCAGCACAAATGTTACTGAGTTCACATATTAGCCCGTTTTAAAACACTTTTTAATTGCTCACCTGTTTTCCATCTTTCTTCCATAGGTCAGAGTTTAGAACAGCATCAGAAGCAAAGAGATTGTTTTTATCAGTGGGAAGTCATGTGCTCCAAACTACGTGTGAGAGAATACACTAACAAAGTATGTCTCTGGTTGGAGAAAAGGTGATTTTGCTCTTTTTAGTGCAAATTAGAAAATATTAAAATGCTAAACCAAATTGTTAAATGTACTGGTAACATTGGCTAATATTAATATAGACCTGCTGCTGGCACTTCAATTCTTGCATAAATAACTACAGATTCCTGATCTTAAACTGATCTTAATGTGATTTAATCCATTTTCCCCATCCTTGTTTTATTTTTTTTTACTAGGAAGAGTAAACTACATAGATTTAGTTTAATCCTATAGGGTTATGCAAATGTTCATTTTACACCAACACCGTTAAGTTTTAGGCCTCATTTGTTTGTTTGTTTTAAACAATAGTTTATATCTTTTGGATTATGGTTCTATGGAAAGGTTATGAACTATTACTATCTTATTTGTTGTAGACAGTTTTATAAAGGTTTGGAAAAAAAACATGTTTGAAAAAAAAAGATTAGTTTTCATCAAACAGATGAGCCAGAACCTAAATGGCCTTTTACAAGGTGTTTGAATGTGTTATGTAAAAACAATAACAAAACTCTAGAATAATCTGCTTTTTAATTATGTAAATATAACAATGAAATTCAAATTAAGAAATAGGGAGCCTAAGTCACGCCCATCTACCATCCACTTGGGCCAACCATGGGTCCCCGGAAGAACGAAAAAATGAATGCAAGTCAATGGGGCTAAAAACGCTACTTTTTAATTCCACTTATGTGCCGTGGATTTCACATATGATGTCCGTGAATTTTGAAGACACATTTTGATACCGAGAACGCGCGCTTATTCTCAAAAGGGGGGAAAAGTTATTTTAGGTTTTGTGTGAAAATAAGTTCAGGACTACAAAGGCGCTGCACGAAAGTGACGTCATCGACCCAGACACGGAGAAAACGGAGGCAAAAGGGCTGTAAGTTCAGCAAACTTCCCACATGAGGTAAGAACAACCATAAATCTGGTATGTGGTAACGTCACATGTGCGACGTGCCGATTTCTGGTGTGTAGTCATGCCAATTACGAACTTTTACAAGCTGATAAATCTCAAAGTACATGACTGGCGTGGTCGAAACACCCATCATTACTTTAATTTAAATTGCAGTACAACATATGTGTGATCCAGGGCATACAGGTGCTGGCCAGTAAATTAGAATATCATCAAAAGGTTGAAAATATTTCAGTAATTCCATTCAAAACATGAAACTTGTACATTATATTCATGCAATGCACACAGACCAATGTATTTCCGATGTTTATTACGTTTAATTTTGATATTTATAGGTGACAACCAATGAAAACATCAAATCTGGTATCTCAGAAAATTAGAATATTCTAAAGGCCAATGAAAAAATGTTTGTTTCTCTAATGTTGGCCAACTGAAAAGAATGAACATGAAAAGAATGTGCATGTATAGCACTCAATACTTAGTCGGGGCTCCTTTTGCCTCAATAACTGCAGTAATGCGGCGTGGCATGGACTCGATCAGTCTGTGGCACTGCTCAGGTGTTATGAGAGCCCAGGTTGCTCTGATAGTCGTCTTCAGCTCCTCTGCATTGTTGGGTCTAGCGTATTGCATCCTCCGCTTCACAATACCCCATAGATTTTCTATGGGGTTAAGGTCAGGCGAGTTTGCTGGCCAATCAAGGACAGGGATACCATGGTCCTTGAACCAGGTGCTGGTGGTTTTGGCACTGTGTGCAGGTGCCAAGTCCTGTTGAAAGGTGAAGTCTGCATCCCCATAAAGTTGGTCAGCAGCAGGAAGCATGAAGTGCTCTAAAACTTCCTGGTAGACGGCTGCATTGACCCTGGACCTCAGGAAACAGAGTGGGCCAACACCGGCAGATGACATGGCACCCCACACCATCACTGACGGTGGAAACTTTACACTGGACCTCATGCAACGTGGATTCTGTGCTTCTCCGCTCTTCCTCCAGACTCTGGGTCCTTGATTTCCAAAGGAAATGCAGAACTTGCTTTCATCAGAAAACATAACTTTGGACCACTCAGCATCAGTCCAGTCCTTTTTGTCCTTGGCCCAGGCGAGACGCTTCTTGCGCTGTTTCTTGTTCAAGAGTGGCTTGACACACGGAATGCGACACCTGAATCCCATGTCTTTCATGAGTCTCCTCGTGGTGGTTCTTGAAGCGCTGACTCCAGCTGCAGTCCACTCTTTGTGGATCTCCCCCACATTTTTGAATGGGTTTGTCGTCACAATTCTCTGCAGGGTGCGGTTATCCCTAGAGCTTGTACACTTTTTTCTACCACATTTTTTCCGTCCCTTCGCCTGTCTGTTAATGTGCTTGGACACAGAGCTCTGTGAACAGCCAGCTTCTTTAGCAATCACCTTTTGTGTCTTGCCCTCCTTGTGCAAGGTGTCAATGATTGTCTTTTGGACAGCTGTTAAGTCAGAAGTCTTCCCCATGATTGTGGGGCCTTCAAAACAAGACTGAGGGACCTTTTAAAGGCCTTTGCAGGTGTTTTGAGTAAATCAGCTGATTAGAGTGGCAGCAGGTGTCTTCTATATTCAGCCTTTTCAGAATATTCTAATTTTTTGAGATACCAAATTTGGAGTTTTCATTAGTTGTCACTTATGAATATCAAATTTAAATGTAATGAACATTGGAAATACATTGGTCTGTGTGCATTGCATGAATATAATGTACAAGTTTCACGTTTTGAATGGAATTACTGAAATATTTTCAACCTTTTGATGATATTCTAATTTACTGGCCAGCACCTGTAAGGCAAAGCAGATTAGAAAATAACTTTTTACCCCCGTTGACTTGCATTCATTTTTTTTTTCGTTCTTCCGGGACCCATGAGCCGACCGGGTGGAGACTTAGCCTACGGCTCCCTATATAATTCTAAAGTTCTGAACTATCTCTTTAAGAAATAGTAAGCCTAGTTTGTATTGATAATATCCACTCCTGCTGCTCTGATGAGTTTTACACCTACTGATAGTTCAATCAGTAAAAGGATGAAAAATAAAGTTCTCAGCACATCAGTTTTGGTAGATTAACACCTTCCAATATGAAGTAATAAAAGTGTATTTCTATTTGATAATAATACATCTGCATGGTTGTCCTGAAAAAGCTCACAGGAGTATACTGAGCTGCTTTTAGGATGAACCTGTGTTGCGTTTGACTCAGGTTCAGGAAAAATGAGGTGAATGAGAGCCTGCACCATAGTGCCCTGTGACTCCTGCAGCATCCAGCTTTAGAGTGTGTGTGACTTACTTACATTTAAGAGTTGCCGTTATACGTAAAAATGTACACCAGCTGGTTGAAATAAACAGACCCAGTTTTTAGATCCCAGTCCAACCACAAAAACCCATAACCCCACATGCTGTCCCAATAACATTAGGAGAAGTTAGCCAAAAGTCCTAAACTCACCCTGTTTGCTGTCTGTTAGTTAGCTTTGTGTTATTTCCTTTGTTTTTTACTGGATGCTAACAAAGCTGCACAGATAATCAGAAAGCGTACCTTGGAGCTCAGCGTAGTAGCTTGTTGAACGGCGACTGCGACGTTTGATGAATTTTGAGGCGTCTGATGCGGGCATAAACACCTGGCGAGCAGCATCTTAGGGTCAGAGGTCACATGTTAAAATCTGAAAATGAGGTTTATGAGGGAATATTTGTGTTCATAAAAGGTTTAAATTGGCATCACCTTTAGAATCAACTGGTTTGGAGTCATCCCTCACAGCTGCACTTTTCACCGTCCTGGAACCTACAACCATCCTGTGTTAGGGACCCCTTTAACTCAAAGCTGTCATGTAGTGTTTTAAAACAAAAACCAGTAGCAATATATGGAGTTTTTTTAGGCTTATGGCACAATTATCTTATTTGAAAAATATTGCCATGTTGGAGTTAGGGATGCTATTTGGTTCTCCTAAATTTTATTCACAAAAATATAATGATTTTGACTGTTTGGCCGGGACGGTCACATTTATGAAGAAGGCCATTGCCCCCCTGGACACTTTTTGTTGATGCCACTGACCCTCAAGTCTACATGTAAACCAGATCATGAGATTTTCTTAATTTATTTAATTTTTAATAGAAACCAGCAACATTACAATACCCTTACATGTACTTGTTACCTTTTCTACCAAATTTAGGAGGTGTTTCCGTTACAGTTTAAGCTTTAACTTTTATGCTTTGTTCTGTTTTATTTTGTTTATATATGTAGAGGAGTAGCTTAGCTTTTTAATTTTATTCAAACAAATAATCCAACATAAAAAAGAATACATTTAATTTCTTGACTTATTCACATATTTTATGCATTTATTGAGATATTTTTTCTTTGTTCTGCACCTCACTTTTTAAAATTATCCTAGTTTACTATATTAATGGGTCATCCACACACAAAATAACAGAACCAGTAAAAATTAAAAAATTACTGATATTTGTTAAAAAATTACTGATATTTGTTACGTTCATTGAAACTGGTTTCTTGGGCTCATGCAGCCAAATCAAAAGTACCTAATAACTTGCTAAACACGTCATTAAAAAAGCAAACATATAATGTGGTGTTCTGATGTTATTCAGATTTATTTTAAAAGATAATGTAGCATTTCATTTTCAGATTACAATTCATTTTATTGAATGCTGAAGGATAATCTCTCAATGAAAGCAACAACTCCTCCTTCTCATCCAGCACTCATTCTTATTCCAAATAACTCTGGTAAGGTACTTACAGGTGAGGATGAAGAGGGTGGAGAGCAAGAACAGGATGAGTGCTCGAGTCCAAGACATTTTGACAGAGAAAGAAACAAAACTTCTGCAGCACTGATCAGCACACCTTTCTGACTAACTGGGGGAAGACAGAGATTGGAAGGGAGAAAGGTGGGAGAGGCAGGGAGAGAGTAGGAGGAGGAAAAAAGAGGCTCATGAAGGGGAGGAAACCTGCTGGAATGTCAATTGGCCCAGAGGACAAAATAAAGTAAGGAGGAGAGGAGTGAAGGAACTTAGGATAACCTGAGTTTTTTGTTTACTGCCCTAAGATGGGGTTTTAAAGGAGCCCCAAAAAGAAGCCAATATGTCAAATAAAGTAGTGAAAGTACTACTATCAGTACAGTAACACAATAAATAGTGTTTTTGTTGTTGGTATAAAATGAAGAGGAAATTGTGATGTGACCAAAACACCAGGGGTCTCATTTATCAAACATTGCGTTGAATCCTTACTAAAACCGTACTTAAGCTCAGCAAAAAAATAAAAGTACTTACGCCAAGTAGGTTTGTGATTTATCAAACATGGAGTACGCACAGCTGCACACAATCTCCGCTTCATAAATCGGAGACTAATGAGAATGTTTCTCAGCTGCATTTTAGTCACATCCCGCCCTCACCACACCCACTTACTGCCATAAATAGTCAATGCAAAGTGCCTTGTGGATCTCATGCATATACATAAGCCGGCTGTTGCAGAGCTATGCCAATGACATGGCGACCGTAGATCAAGGCAGATCAAGGAAGCACAATTTCACAGAAGCAGAAATTGAGGTACCTGTGGGTGACGTGGAGAAATGAAAGGAAGTGCTTTTGCTAAACAAATAAGACAAAATCCAAGGAGTGGCACAGCGTTGCTGAAGCCGTCAATGTTGTGAGTTCTTCAGAGAGATCTGTGGCGGATATTAAAAAAAAAGGTCCAATTGGGATTTGATCTCCAGACTCCCGGGTGAAAGTCACACGCTCTAACAATCAGCCAAACAGAGATCTTAGCACTGCAGGTGCTCTCCATGTCCAAAATGTGCGTAAGCCAGGTCCTTAGTCAACTTAAAGTTGTGCACATTTTTCCGTTAAGTTATCTTTCATAAATCCCAAAGTTTGCGTGGAAAGTTGCTTACGCAGTTTTCTGACCCTGTTTTGTGCGTAAGCAAGCTTGATAAATGAGGCCCCTGCCCCATAAACTATTCCAAGCATCTTGAAGCATCACAGCTTTTCAATGGTTTCAACATTTTCAAGTCTCCCATTCTAAAAACCCAATTTCCCCAAAAAAGCTGTCATTTGAAAATGTGTATTTATAGAGAAGAGAAGCCTCTAGGTGCCACATGATGGAAAGTCCACTTTTTGGAGCTTTTTACCACGTGATATTATTTCTTCATGAAAAATACACCAAACCTGTTTTTGGCTGCATTTATGCATTTTCCTTTCTCAGGTGCAAATTTTGAGTTGTATTTTGAAAAACCTGAAAAAGCACACACACACACGTGTGTGTGTGTGTGCTTTTTCAGGCATATGCATGTATGTATATATATAGACCCACAAAATTTAAAGCTCCAGCAAGGTTACCGGTTTTCTGGCTTTCCTCCGAAACATTCATATTAGTTTTATTTACTGCACTGATGCCTCTACATTTGTCACCATAACAAAGGTCAACTGATGTTGAATCATTGATATGTTTTTCTTTCATAGTTTTATTTGTGAAAAGCCAGTGAGGGCAGCTTGAAAACGTAAATTTAGGATTCTACGCAGCTTGCCACTTTTTGGTAGTACATGCTAAAGAACAGTACTGACCAATATTTTTTTTTAAGTCTTCTCTGTGTTTATTTCAAAAAGGGAGTCTGAATGATATATAATATCAGAATGATCTGATGTGCTTCTCTTCTATCTGTTGAGGAATGATGGTTTCTCTCATCAGGGAACGGAAACCTGGTTGGTTTAGTCTAACACAGGGGTGCCACATGCAGGATACCGGCCCTCCAGGACCAGGATTGGGAGCCCCTGGTCTAACACATTTGGATTTACTTACAGACTATACAAACTAAATATTTGGGGATTAACTCATGAATGAATGACGACAAGAATCATCAGCATATTGGCAATTAAATACTTTACTTGGAGATCAATGGTCTCGGTTCTGTCAGTGTGCTCCAGGGCAGCTGTGGCCATGATGTAGCTCATCAGTGTGTGAATTTGTATGTGCATGGATGAATGATCCACTTCTGTGTAAAGCACTTTGAAGTCATCTGATTTAGAAAAACGCCGTACAAGTGCAGGTCGTTTATCATCTATAGTTCAAACATTCCGGACAAGCCCCAAGTTTATGTAACGACTCTGGCATCAAGAGCATGCTATGAACTCTGTGAAGAGAAGATGAAATTTGGAGATCTTAGGTGGATTTCTTCATGTAGACTTTTCCGTTCTGTCATCTAATAAACTCTGAAATGTGTCTCCTCTTCAGTAAATTGGGCACAGACGACTTGCTGCTGCGCCCAGATATGAAGTCTGGGAACCATTAAGCGGAAAATGTGCACATAGTGATACCTCTGTGGGAGAAAATATGTGCTGCACGTGCAGTTTTTCCTGAAAGTGTCTGAATGCTCACGTGGATCTTTTTCTTAGTGTTCACATACAAGCAAAACATCCATGAACCATAATCTCAAATAAACATATTGAAGCTTTGTAGTATTTGTAGGATTAACTACATACTAAAATCAAAACTGTTGCTAATCAGTTTTAGATTCTGAGAAGGACCAAGCAGATTAATCTATGAAGCTTAGATCATATATAAATTCCCGGATACTAATATAATCGATCTAAGTTCATGCACCAACCTGTTTGGTCTATTTTTAATCCAAAGATTAAAGTTTAATTTAAGATAATTAAATTTAATAGCAAAAGTTATTTTTGAATCAGAATCTAGGAATCTTTGCTTTTCAATAACCAGAAATAATTATACCCTTTCTATGTTTCATTTCAATAATGAGGCAAGTTTAAAAAAAATGAAGAATTTTATTACTAACAATTTTAAACTTTACGATATGAACGACAATTATAAATGACATAACATGGATGACAATTTAATGACAATTTTTAACAGCTTTGATATTAAACTTGTTTTAAAAGGCAAACCTGTGGCTGGATGAAAGCTAAATTGGAAATATGAGTTTGGATGCGTGAATGGAATTCTCAGAATTATAAATGATAAATGACCCGCACTTGTATAGCGCCTCTCAGAGTAAGGACTCCAAAGTGCTTTACACTACAGTGTATCATTCATCCATTCACACACACATTCACACGCTGGTGGGGATGAGCTACGATGTGGCCACAGCTGCCCTGGGGTGCACTGACAGAGGCGAGGCTGCCGAGCACCAACAGCAGGCAAGGTGGGTTAAGTGTCTTGCCCAAGGACACAACAGCAGATTTCTCTGTCCAGGGCCGGGATTGAACCTGCAGCCTTCCGATTACTGGACAACCCGCTCAACCTGTTGAGCGGAGAACACAAGGAGACACATGAGGGAGACGCAGGACGCAGACCATGACATGATCAAAAGACGCGTAAATGGCAGCACGCAGAAATCACGAGGCAACGTTTTACGTGATGTTTACTTGTTGCTGTGAATAATAAGACAGAAAAGGCCACGCCAAAATAAGTTTAGGAAGCCCACTAAGAATCGTAATAAAAGCATTTAAAATGAATACCATACACAGTTGAGGAAACGTTGGTTTAAATACCTGATATGAAGTGGTCGCTGCATAAGCAAAAACCTTTTCTCTCGGGATCCCACAGTTTCATTTTAGCCCGGTGTAACGTGAGGAAATATGGGTTTTCTGTCACAAAGGTGGTGTTGGACTCAGCTGTGTCAAAGCTGGGTCGTTGAGAACTTTCACCCACAGATTAAGACCTGAACGCCAGCGAGTCTGGGAAGAAACCATAACATCTGCCACCTGCAGTACCAGAAGAAGGAGTTCTCATGGACAAGTAGTCATAACAAGTCAAAACATAAAGTTTAAACTTCCTTTTCTTGTTTTGAATGTTAAAAGTTTAATCATCAATTTGCTCATTATAAATGTGTTTTAATCAAATGAATGACTATTATGCTTTGGGGTAATTATAAGAGATTTAATGAATCCATAATTAGATAATGTTGAGAGTGTTTGTTGCTGACCTTCACACACACTCAAGCACACACACCCACACACAGATTCTCACAGTTAAACTCCAAAACACATTTGCTGATGCACACGTTTGCTTTGAGAAGAGAAAGGCTTTTGGTAAGTTTCAGTCTTATGATTTCAGTTCGTGTTGGACAACGAAAGAGAGTGGACCTGAAAACCAAAGGGGGGGCAGAGCCGGTTGGCTCGTTCTTCCCCCCTTTCACGCTGTTCCTGCCAAGCCAGGCAGAATAGCTGAATCGCAACTTCTAACGCAGACTCATTACCGAGTCTTTTGATTTCTGAGTGAACTTAACTTAATAAAGCGCATCGACAAAACGCTTTACCATCAACGTGTACCGAGGGCAACTCTGGACCGGTTCGCGGCGCATCTTTGTCTTCTTTGCCAGCCAAGGTGCCCTGGATGAAACATCCTAAGGTGACGTCCCGGGTCCAACAGAGGGTCCGATTTTCGGTGAGGCAAAACACGACAGATAGCGTTTTGATGCATCTTTTCCAACTAAACCTAAGTTTATTCAAACCATCACTTTTCACTCAGACACCTGTTTCTTCCTGAAGCAAAATCAGATGCACACACGCATCCATCTCACCTCATGTTCAATTCTCACGACACTTGGCACCCACACGCATCCATAATCACATCATATCACTCTCAATCTTCATTCACCGACAGAAGGTCTATTTGAGCAAGAACAGCATATCACCTGTTAAAGATTGTCCCACAAAGTTGCCAATGTTGATTGTTATTTCCTGTTTGTCAATTTTCAAAATCATTAGTTTAATTTGAAGAATTAAAACCTTTAATTGTCAAACTGGTTTCCTCATTGAACTGAAACACAGACACACAGATATTATCGTCAGTTTATCGATGAAAACAACCTTTGAGTCTTCTTAACAATATAACTGAGTAAAGACAGTTTCTCCTTACAATATAACTGAGCCAGTCAATATTTTCTTTACAAATATGGCTGAGCCAGCCAAATTTCTTTACACCGGTCATCAGC